GTGTGTGTGTGTGTGTGTGCAGACCACTCGTGGGATGCATGGGGGTGAGTGCATGCGTGATTGTGCACGCGTGTAGGTGCGTGTGCACACACGTGGGATGCGTGTATGCACACGTGGGGGTATGAGCGCGTGGGCTGCGTGGGGAGGGGATCGCGAGTGCCGGCTGCGGACCAGCAATCGACTGCAGACAGAGGCTGGCAAAGTGCCTCACCTTCCCTCACTCCCTGAGACCCCAACGGAATGAATGGAGGACCGGGTGGGTGCAGGACCTTTGCAATCCGTGTGCCATCTGAGGTGCCAGAGTAGGTCCGTGGAGCTTGGGCTCCACTCCATCCCGGTTTCAGCCAACTGCTCTTCCTCCTCAGGGCTAAGTGGTCGGAGGCCCCGCCTCCACCACCAGGGTGGGAGGTTACCCCGCGTGGATCCGCTGCCCCTGGCCTCTGGGATCTGAGCTGCAGCTGCTCCTTTCTCTTGAGTGTTTGCGCAGGACGCCTTGACACCCTCAGGTTTAAGACTTGTAGGATCCTTTAGGCAGTGTTCTTAGAACTTTGGATTGTGGTACATGACTAGATCATAAAACGAATTGGTGAGTGACAGCCAACTTCTTAAAAGAATGAAATAAAATTCAATGGAAGGGATAGGATGTAGCTCAGTGGCACAGCACACCTACCTGGCAAGCACGAGTTTCAGAGTTTGATTCCTGGTACCTCACAGCCCCTTCCCTCCCCCCCTACAAAAAAAAGAATCCAGTGGAAGCCAGTGTCAGCCTGAGTTGTGGTGCATGCCTGTAATCCCAGCCTTTGGGAGGCTGAGGCAAGAGGATCGTCAAAAGTTTGAGAGACCAACCAGGGGTACAAAGTGAGCTAAAGGCCAGCCTGAACTGCATAGTAAGACCCTGACTGAAGAAGGCAAAAGAAAAAGAAAATGTCTGCGTCCCTTGCACTTACTGAGGATAACCAGTGTTTTACAAATCTTTTGCTTTAGTTACATATTCTAGGCAAGTGTGGAGAACTGTGGGTCATAGGTCATAAAATTTTAAAGCTGTTATTTTGGGCACATAATAATGATCATTGACACTGCACTGTTTTCTTAAAAACAAACCCACTATTTTACTACTTCTTATCCGCCCCAGACTCTGTATCCCATGCCCCGTCCATGTCCCCAAAGGCAGGCTCTTGCCCACACTCACCTGGCTTTCTGAGTGACTCAGCGTTCACCCACCCTTTGCCTGAGGATGGTCTTGGGACGCCATCTTCCTCGCACCTGTGTTCAGTGTTACGGTTCCCCTGAATTCTCTCTGCCCAATGTCATTTACACTTGCAGGATCTCGACAAACGTTGCTCAAAGGAGCCTCAGAGAAGACAAGGGCCAGCCATGCCCTTTCAGATTTCAACAACTGAAACCCAGAATAGTCAACTTTATTGCCCAATGTCACACAGTGTTGAATCTTAGGCTCTTAGGCTGCTGTTCTTTGATTTACAGCGTTCCTCTGTCCTCCTCCTTTCCATCAACCCTGCAGTCCTTAACCGGTTTCCCTAGTTTTGGTCTTTGCCGGTTCAAGCTGAGCACTGCCCTCTTCCTAAAGCTTAGTTCTCACCATGCCCCTGCCTTCTGTCCTTTATGGCTCAACTCTACACACAGGGCTTAGCTGCTAGCTCCTTGGCTTTTAATCAAGGCAGGCAAGTACCGACTTGGCTCTTGGAGGACAGAAGTTCAACAAGTCATTGCCTCTCCAGCCAGACTGGTTTATTTGTGGTCCTTCGCCAGCCTTGCCCACCTGTGCCTCGGTGCCTTTGACCGAAAAGTCGATTTCCCACCAGAAGTGCCTTCTTTGTCTTCTCTTTTTATCTGGTTCCTACTTGTGCTTGACTCAATCCATTTGACAGCCTGAGAATAGCACAGCAGTAGGACACACCTACATTTAAATCCCAGCTTAAACAGTTCCACTGAGTGTGAACTTGCTCCAGTTGCTAACCTCAAGTTCTGAGCCTCAATTTCTACATCTTGATTGTAGTGAGGATAGTAATAATAGTACTCTTTCATACCTGCTAGCCTTTACGGTACAGGTGCACACTGGCTTATTGTTTGTCTGCCCTTTTCTGGTGCTGGCCAATAAGACTTCTTGCAGTGACGTCAATCCACATCCACTGTGGCTCACTGGAGACATGTAATGCAGACATGCAATGTTACTGAGCCCCCTCCCCAGTGACCAGTGGCTGCCCTACTGGGCAGCGTGTACAGCTCTAGGTTGTGAGTCACTGATGGCCGAAAACACAGACATCATGCTAAGCATTGTTTTCTCTGCAATTGTGCGTGGTCCAACACATGGCAGATATGACACGAATATTTGTTAAATGAGCGTTAGTTGCAATTCATCGCATGTCCACTTGTGAGAAGCACACTAGGAGCTTAACAAAGCCCTTCAGTGTAGTCTTCATACATCTCGTGAGGTCAGATGTGCTGATAAAAAGCATGTGGGGTTCAATAAAAGACAGTTATTATTCTAAACACCTCCCCTGGGACTGACCTTACTGATTTTTATCCCTTCTTCCCCTGGGCTTACCAAGCATTTCTGCCTGTCACATACACAGGCAGAAATGTCCCGTGTCGTGCCTCACCCTAGCTGGCTGATGCTTCTCTTCAGAGTAGGCATCCTGTCCCTTCCACTAGCCTGACAGCCCCTTCAGGCAAGGTCCCTGGCATGCTGGCTTCGATGTCCTTCGACTTGGCGCTGATTAATAGTTAGTAATAGCCTCTAACTCTGTCCCAGCTGCTGTCTGATTATAAGTAATTCTGCACAAAAGGTGCATTAGTGCAAGGATCACTGTGTCAACTGGAAACGTGTTGGGGATGATCTCCTTCCTGTGGGAAGGGGGCTGGCTTGAGCAAGTTCCTTTAAAGGGGAAAAGGATGAAGCCACCAGGATGAGATGTCCACCTCTCTGGACCCCAGAGAGGGTTGGGGTTTTTTTTGTTTGTTTGTTTCAGGAAGTACAAAACTTCTCTGCAGGGGCTCCCTCACTCGGTATCATACAGATGGAAAATATGAAAATGAGCTTGGATTCTTCTTTCATGAATGGGCAGACTGAGGATAGCTAAATGTGTCCTTTCCTATGGGGACTGCAAGGCACAGACTACACAGCGAAATGCCACCGTGGAATGGCAGGGAGAGAGAAAGCAGGAAGGGAGATGACCAGAGACAGCCTGGAGGAGCAGTGATATTTCGAGGCAGGAAAGGGGGAAAAGGACTTCCACATGGACAATAGGACAGACAAGCAGTAGGACCACCGGACAGGGTGGGACCTCTAACTCACCGAGCAAGAACCTGTCCCTGACAGGTCTCGTGAGGTGAGAATGGAAAGGCATCCACTGGATTTGGCAACAATAATTACATCAGTTGCTTGTGTGAGACCAACATTTGGAGAGAACGTAGGGCCCATTAACGCCACTGAAAACAAGAGCAGTTTTTGGATTGGTAGAGGCCAATGGAGTGGGTAGGTTCAGCCAGGCACCAGAAGAGGGCACTAGAGAGCGGTTCAGTAGAGCTCTATGGCCAAGGTCAAGGTTTGTTTGTTGTTGTTGTTGGGTTTTTTTTGGCGGAACCAGGGGATTGAACTCAGGCCCTTGCGCTTGCCAGGGAATCACTTATTCCACTGAGCCATCTCCCCGGCCCAAGGTCAAGGTTAAGGCAGGAGATGGCACAGGGGCTGCTAGCCCATTGGACTACAGATAGGGTGGTCTGCACTGCACTTTATCCACTTAATAAACGCATCAGCTCTTAGTGTTCTAAGGAGTCTACAAATATTAGCTCATTTAGTAGATAAAGAATTTTTTTCAGCCCATGGAACTTTGGTTTGCTCAAATTCCATTTAACTTCAGGGTGCTTTCAGAAATAACGAAGGCAAGAAGGGAATTAGTAACCATCTGTGCTGGTTACCTCTTCTTAATTTGCCTTTCTATGAAAGAGTGCCAGCCATAGTTCACTTGACAAATAAGCAAAGGTCTTTTCTGTATTTATGTAAGGTTTCAGGATGGGGTTATTCCTCTCCGGGGGGTATACTTTAGGAGTGTGTGTCTCCTTGTTACTCTCGGGGTACACACAGCCCGATGTCAGTGGGGGCTAGGTCTTATTCTGG